CTATATAACTCCTTTTATGACTGGCTATCTCAAAAATCCTTATGGCTTGGTCCCCCAGAAGTAATCTGTTACTCTTCTCATACACAATTTAGTTTATGCTTAGTACACACACACACATATACATATATACACCCATCACTGCCAGAAGCTTTATAAGTATATTTTAAATAAGTCAAAATAAGTACAATTAATAAGGGAAATCTTGCCCTAAGCAAAATAAAATCTTTCCTTGCATTCAAAGCAGGAATCACAAATACTTCTCTGTACTAATTTCCCAATAACTATTTTATAGAACTCATAGCCACAGAAAAATCCAATGATAATCTGTCCTTCTGTATGAGACTGTGAGGCTCTTATTTTGACATGAGGGTATAGTGGCCGATTTTTGGCAGAGTGGCTCCAGGATATAATTAACAGCTAGTATACACTCCACTTCCTGGACTCTACATTTCTCTGGGAACATATTCAGAGCTGGGCAATCACAACATATATGCACAGCTGGATTTATTTTATTCTGGAAACATACAAAACAATGTGATAGCTAAAATGGATTACAAGACACTGAGCCTTGGTTTGAAGGAGAGAATTATGAGTATAATAATTTGAGATGAGCACAATTGTAACTTAACTTTGCATAAGGAGTTTGCTCAAGAGTCCAAGCTATCTTAATTCAAGACATGGACACATATTCATACATGTATAGACACACACTTAGACACACACAGAGGCACACAAATGAAATCACTCCCCAAAGGTCCTGAGGCCAAAATTCTCAGTCATCCTCAAATCCTCTTCTTCTCTCTTCATCCAACTTGCTAACAAATCTTGTTATTCTATCTTCAAAATACATCCAGAATTTGACCACTTCTCACTACTTCCACTACTATCAACGTACCCAGCCACCATCAGTTCGTGCCCAACCAGCCACCATGTTACCAAACTGGTCTCCTTGCTTCCCTCATTTTGTCTCATATAATGTGTTCTCTCCTCAGAATCCAGATTATTCCTTAAAAACAAAAATGAGACATTGCTCTCCAATGACTTCCCATCATATTTAGAATGAAACCTCAGTACCTCTCATTTACTAACAAGGGTCTCCTGCCCTGCCTTTACCCACCTCTTGGTCTCATTTCTTACCATTCACCCTTGCTACTCTTACTCAGTCACACCAGCTGCCTTATGTTATTCAAACATTGCAAGTGAGCATCTGCTTCAGGGCCTCTGTACTTACAGCAGCCTCTGGCTGGAGTGTTCTTCCTCCCAGATCTTTGCATGCTCTCTCCCTCACTGGAGAACTCTGCTCAAATGTAACTTACTAGAAAGTCTCCCATCCCTACCCATCACGGTTTGTCTTTTTTTGCTCATGCTGTTGTTGATAAGTGCCAGCAAGTCGGTTCCCACTCATAGTGACCCTAAGTGTCACAGAAGGAATCACTGCCTGGTCCTGTGCCATCTTTGTAATGACTGCTATGTTTGAACACACTGTGGCTGCTACTGACTGTGTCAATCCATCTTGTTGAAGGGCTTCCTCTTTTTCCCTGATCCTTCACTTTACCAAGCATGATGTCCTTCTCCAAGATTGGTCCCTTCTGGTAAAATGTCCGCGCTATGAGAGATGAACTCTGGTCACCTTAGTGGCTAAGGAGCATTCAGGCTGTACTCTTCCAATACAGATCTGTTTGTTGTTCTGGCAGTCCATGGTACCTTTAATATTCTTCTCTAACACTATAATTCAAATGGATCATTTCTTCTGTGGTCTTCCTTATTCATTGTCCAATTTTCACATGCATATGAAGCTACTGAAAATACCATAGTTTGGGTCAGACACACTTTAGTCCTCAAACTGACATCTTTGCTCTACAACATGTTAGAGAGGTCTTGTGCAGCAGATATGCCTAAAGCAGTATGTTGTATGATTTCTTGACTAATGCTTTCTTGAGTGTTGATTGTAAATCCAAGCAAATATTGCATTTTGCTTGGATTTGCAAAATGCAATATTTGATAACTTCAATCTTTTCTCCATTTATCATGATGTTATTTATATATCCATTAGTGAGTATTTTTGCTTTCTTTACATTGAGGTGAAACTCATACTGAAGGCTGTGGTCTTTGATCTTCTTCAGTAAGTATTATAAGACCTCGTAACATCCAACAAGCAAGGTTGTATCATCTGCGTATCACAGGTTGTTAATCAATCTTCCTGCAATCCTGATACCACACTCATCTTCATATAATACATACAGCTTCTTGAATTATTTGCTCAGCATGCAGACTGAAAAAGTATGGTAGCAGAATACAACCCTGGCACATACCTTTCCTGATTTTAAACCATTTGGTGTTCCTTTGTTCTGTTTGAATGTTCTATTGAATGTTCTGCCTCTTGGTCTATGTACAGGTTCCTCATGAGCACAATGAACTATTCCGGAATACTCATTTGTCACAATGTTGTCCATAGCTTCTCATGATTCACACAATGGAAAGCCTTTGCGTAGTCTATAAAGCACAGGCAAACATCTTTCTGATATTCTCTATTTTCAGTCAAAATCCATCTGACGTCAGCACCACACCTTCATCTGAGTCTGGCTTGAACCTCTGGCAGTTCTCTCTCAATGTACTATTGCAGCTGCCTTCAAATTATCTTTAGAAAAAATTCACTTGCATGTGTACTGTCCTATGATTACCGCATTCCACTGGGTCACTTCTCTTCAGAATGGGCACAAATATGGATCTCTTCTAACCAGCTCTTCAGGAGGCTGTCTTCCAAATTTCTTAGCACAGATGAACGAGTACCTCAGTTTGTTGAAAGACTTCCTTCCATTTGTATTCCATCAGTTCCCAGAGCCTTGTTTTTCGCCAGTGTCTTCAGTGTATATTGGACTTCTTCCTTCAGTATCATTGGCTCTTGATCATATGCTACCTCTTGAAATGGCTGAATATCAACCATTCTTTTATGGTACAGTGACTCTGTATATTTCTTCCTTCTATCTTCTTTTTATTTTTTCCTTCTATCTTCTTTTGATGCTTTCTGCATCATTCAGTATTTTGCTCAAAGAATCCTTCAATACTTCAAGTCAAGACTTGAATTTCTTACTCAGTTTTTTCAACTTGAGAACTGCTGAGTGTGCTCTTCCTTTTTGGTTTTCTAACTCCAGATCTTTACAGATTTTATTATAATATTTGACTTTGCCTTCTAGAGCTGCCCTTTGAAATTTTCTTTTCAATTCTTTTATCTCCTCACTTTTTCCATTTGCTTTAGCATCTCTGTGCTGGAGAGCAAGTTTCAGTCTCTTCTGACATCCATGTCTTTTCCTTCTTTCTTGTCTTCTTGATGACCTTTTGCTTTCTTCCTGTATGATGTTCTTGAAGTCATACCACAACTCCTATAGGTTTCAGTCACTAGGGTCTGATTCATCAAATCTGTTCTTGAGGTGATCTCTAAATTCAAGTGGGATATGTTCAAGTCATATTTGGATTCATATGGACTAGTTTCAATTTTCAACTTCCACCTGAATTTGCATATGAGCAGTTGATGGTCTTTTCCATAATCTGTCCTTGGCCTGGTTTTGGCTGATGACATGGAGCTTTTCCACCATCTCTTCCCACACATGTAGTCAATTTGATTGCTATATATTCCACCTGGTGAAGTCCATGTGTGTAATCATCTTTTATGTTGTTTAAAAAAAGGTATCTGCAATGAAGAAGTTTTGGTATTGCGAAATTCTATCATGTGATCTCCAGCACCACTTCTACCAGTCTAGTATTTCTATCACCACTTGTTTAACAGGGTTTCACACTGTGATGCTAAAAGCTATGCCAAAGGTATTTGGAATGCCGGAAGGGTCTCTAGTGGACAGATTTCATCTGAGTTTCCAGACAGACACGGAAGAAGAAAAGGTAGACTATTTCTGAATGTTTAGCTACTGAAAACTTTCTAAATAGCAGTAAAACACTGTCAAATAACACCAGAATATTGAATATTTAACATGATGTAGAGCACCAGAATAGTGCCAGATAAAGTCCTGGAAGATGAGTCCCTCAGGTTGGAAGGTACTCAAAACATGACTAGGGAAGAGCTGCCTCCTCAAAGTAGAGTTGATTGTGATGACGTGAACGGAGGAAAGCTTTTGGGACCTTCATTTACTGATGGGCACAACTCAAAATGAAGAGGAACAATGTGAACATCCATTAATAATTGGAACATGGGATGTACCGAGTATAATCTAGGAAAATTGGAAACAGTCAAAATGAAATGGAACACATAAACATCAATATCCTAGGCATTAGTGAGCTGAAATGGACTGGTATTGGCCATTTTGAATATCCATTCACATGGCTTACTATGCCGGGAAGAGGGAAGGTGTCACATTCATCGTCAAAAAGAACATTTTAAGATCTCTCTTGATATACAACATTATCAGTGATAGGACAATATCTACACACCTAGACAGAAGACCAGTGAGTACCACTATTACTCAAATTTATGCAACACTCACTCAAGCCAGTGAAGATGAAATGGAAGAATTCTGTAAACTTCTTCAGTCTAAAACTGATATGCAATCAAGATGTATAGATAATTACTGGTAATTGGTATGCAGAGGTTGGAAACGAGGAAGGATCAGTAGTTGGAAAATACCACCTTGGTGATAGAAATTGTGCCTCATAGTACTTAATATATGTTGATTTGACATGCATCTGGAATGTCACTCCATTGAAGCTACAACTTTACTCTGTTTTGTTCACTGCAGTGCCCATAGCTTCTAAACAATATCTGGTGTGTAGTAGTTACTCTATAAATATTTTATAATGAATGAAGAACTGAATAGTGCTTATTGGTTTCTGGTACATAGTAAGCAGATACAAATTTGTGATGTCAACCTTAGGAGGTAAAAATATTACTAGAAATGTTAAAAAATTTATAATGACATTATTTAAGATGTCAAAAAGAAAGCCACTTTATATTTTAACCAATTTCAATATAAATGCAATTATTTTGTACTTACTTGGAGTTTCTTCTAAAATGTCCTGGAATTTGGTCCTCTCATAATCCACCAGCTGGCGTTGAAGATGGGGTCTAAGACTTCTAATTGTAAAATTGACCATGTCCATTCTCATGAGGTCCAAGACATGAAATATTTGTCTAAAATTTTTAGAATTAAAATGGTTAGAGGGGATTAAATTAAGCAGAAATACATGAACTGTTATATATCTTGTTGTTGTTGTTAAGTACCTCCAACTCAGTTCCAACTCATAGTGATCCTATGCAGTGTTTCTGAAGCTTTAAATCTTTAAAGGGAGAAGAAAGTCTCATCTTGTACCTTTTGAGTAGTTAGTGTGCTCATACCACAGATCTTGAGGCTCAAAGTCCTGTGGATATCCTACAAAACCCTAAGCTCCCTATTATATATATGATTATATATATTGTTGTTTGAAGTGCCATGGAGTCAGTTCCAACTCATAGCAGCCCTGGATAAGGTTTCTGAGGAGCAGTTGGTGATCTTGAACTGCCAACCTTGTGATTCAAACTGACCTTGTAGTTTAGTACATTAACACACAGTGCCACACCAGGACTCCGTTACATGTATTATATCCACAAAAACACAAACATCCTCAAAACAGTTCTGAAATCCCAGTTTCCATTTAGAACGTTTACTTTTCATAGAATTAAGCATGCCTAATCCCCAATTTACTCATCAACAAATATCAAGAGTGTTTCCTTTAATGTATATAGTATCGTCAGCTGATTCATTATACCTCAACATAAATGAACTAAGAAGCACAAACAATGCATCATGAGCCAGAAATAAGAAGGATTCAAGGAGGAATTTTCATTGGCAAGTCCCTGAAATTTTCCTGGACATATATCGTTTTTATTTCTAAGGGAATGCTTTGAAAAAGGAAGCAATGGGGCAGTGAAGTACAGGGGCAAAAGTACTTTGTTTAAGAGCTGGACAGTCTTACACTCAACCCCAGGTTTGCAACTAAGCAGCTCTGCGGCCATGCAAAAATGACTCAGTGTTGCTGAGCCTCAGTTTCCTTACTGGGAAAAGAGAGGACAGCTCCAATGTGGAAGGATGTTGTTTGAAATCAACAAGATAATAAGCAGAAAGTACAGTGACAGTGGACTCCAGCAAGTGTCTAAGAAATACAAAGAGCACCCCAGGTTTGATATCATATACAAGTATGCATGGGACTTGGAGCCGGGATACTGCATTTCATAATCACAATCTGTCAGAGTTGAGCACACAGTAAAGCCCATTTTACAGATAGGAAAAGTGTGACTTAGAGAGGTTACCTACTTGTCTGAGGTCAAAAAGTAACTTATCCACTAATTACAGACCAGTTTCCTTCTCGTACCTTTCCAAAGCTATTACATAAAACTCAATTTTTACTATGGTCATATTCATACAAAAAGGAAAAAAAAAAAATTCCCAGTGGCAAAAAGTACTGCACTTTTATCTGGACTCTGGGACCACAAGGACTAGATGATGTGTTTAGGATTTTAATACGCACCTCCCATCTTCAGACCACCAGAGATTTGTGGCTGGTAAAAGTGTTTATAGACAGCAGCTGCAGTTCACAGCAGACTTCAATCTAGGCAGGACCAGGTGACCAATTATAGTCAATGAAATGTGTTGTTTCTGGGTTGAAGTGAATGAACATCCAAATATATGCTCCCTCTGGTCTCTTTCTCATTAACCAGCTGACTAGAGAAGACACCCGAGCCCTGGGAAACGAGGAAGCCAAAGACTGAAGGAGCCTGGGTTTATGTGGTTGCTGCCTGACCAAGAATGCCAGAACTGGATTTGGGCATGAGGAGAAACAAACACTTATTGGACAAATCACTGAGAAGCCAGAGCTTATGTGTTACAGCAGCTAGCATTGCCCTAACTGATAAAGGCGACTTCTCATATATTTGATTAAATTAGCTCTCCCCGCTGAAGGCTCTGTTCGCACCCTCTACTATCCCTCTCACAGTCCTGGTGTGGCACTGTAGGATAAGCACTAGACTACTAACCACAAGATCAAGCAGTTCACACCACCACTGGCTCCTCAGAAACCTTATCCAAGGTCACTACGAACTGGAATCAACTAGACAGCACTTTACAACAACCCCTTTCTAAGGATTCCTGGCACAACAGTTGGCACTTGGCTGTTAAGTGAACCTACCAAGCAGCTCGGTGGAAGAAAGACCTGATCAGTGGCTCCCCTAAAACAAGGAACAAAGCAAAACCAAACTCACCACCACTGAGTCACTTCTGACTCATAGCAATCCTCGAGGACAGGGTGGAACTACTCCTGAGGGTTTCCAAACCTGAAATCTTCACAGGAACACTCTCCTCTCTCTCCTGGGAAATGGCTGGTGGGTCTGAGCTAAGCTTGCAGTTTAGCAGCCCATCACTTAACCCACTGGACTACCAGGGATCCATAAAGACGATAGTTTAAAAAATCCTATTGGGCACTTCGACTGTTACAAACTGAAATCAACTCAACAGCACCCAACCACACCAGCCTTTTCACAATAGTCATCAGAACTCTCCACTAGACTGTAAACTGCCAGGTGTCAGGGATTATATCTTATTGTTCTTATCACTATATCCCTAGAGCCCAACACATGCCAACTAAATTTTGTCAGCATAGTCAATCTGAAGACTCTATGTACACAGTAAACGGTTGACTTAACCCACTGCCATCAAGTCAATTCAGACTCATCATGTCCTATAAGACAGAGGAGAACTGTCCCTTAGAGTAAATCTTCGCAGGAGCAGACAGCCTCATCTTTCAACTGCAGAGCAGCTGGTAGGTTTGAACTGCTGGCTCTATGGTGAGCAGTCCAGGGTTTCTCCCACAGTGCCATACCAGGGATCAACGGTTGATTGGTTGACTTACAGCTTGCTTATTTGATTTTCTTCTAGAGTCAAGGACTTCTTTGGGAAACCAGCTCTTTTTCTGCATTCCCCAAAATCTATACTTCCCATGTGAATAAAGTTAGAGATACTCTAAATCAGGGGTGGGGAATGCCTGGCCCATGGGCAGTATAAGGCCCACGAGATCATTTCACCTAGTCCTGCCAAGGCAACCACAGTTCCAACCACCACATTGTTGTTGTTAAGTGCCGTAGAGTCGGTTCCAACTCATAGTGACCCTGCATAGGGTTTCTAAGGCTGTAAATCTTTATGGGAGCAGAAAGCCTCATCTTTCTCCCATGAAACAGCTGGTAGTTTCAAACTGCTGACCTTGTGGCTTGCAGCTCAATTCGTAACAACTACACTACCAGAGCTCCTTAACCGTCACATTGTTGTTGTTGTTAAGTGCCATCGAGTCGGTTCCGACCCATAGCGACCCTGTACAGGGTTTCCGAGGGTGTAAATCTTTACGGGAGTAGAAAGCCTCATCTTTCTCCCGCGGAGCGGCTAGTAGTTTCGAACCGCTGACCTTAAGGTTCGCAGCCCGATTCGTAACCATCACATTAGGAGTGATTTAATTAAATGTTTGACCAAATATAGCACATTAATTTTTAAGTTGACAATTCTGTATGGTCTACAAAATGATGCTATAAATTTTGGCAGGAAAAAGATGCCCCACCCCTGCTCTAAATGTAAGCAGCCAAACTACTAACCTCAGCACCTCCACAATGTTGCTGGTAGCTTTCAACTCTCGGATATCGTCATCCCGCACAGGGGCACACAGTTTTCCCATCGTGCTGATGACGTAGTTGGCCAGGCCTTGGATGTCCACAGCACTGTGCTCAGCCTGCTGTCTGATGAGGTCTGTGTCCAACACTTCACAGATCTGATTGCGAAGCCGGTTGCCTCCAGGAGTCAGGAAAGAGAGAAGAATCTGCTCGCCGAGAGGAAGGAGAAATGAACAGCATCGTCACGTGAGTGAAGGTTGTTACCCTTCCCTTCGGTGTCCTTGTCCATGTTTTCCTGCTCTGAGGATGTCAGAGGCTTACACTGACTACACTGCAGACCAAACATGGGGTCCAGTTTGGACTCTAAAAACAGAGCGTTAGCTGTTGATTGAAGTGCCTCCCCACAGAAAGTTCCTGATACAGTCAGGATGAAAATGCCTGGCAAGGAAGCAATCCCGCGGGCCCGTCAGTATATTTGACATAGAAAATGTTTATTAGATGAGTAAGCTATTTATGGGAGCTCTGGTGATGCACTAGTTAAAGTGCTCGACTGCTAACCAAAAGGTGAGCTGTTCGACCCCATGACAGAAACATGTGGCAATCTGCTCCTGTAAAGGTTTCCAGCCTTAGAAACCCTGTGGTTGTGTGCTGTGGAGTCAGCTGTGACTTATAGCGACCCTGAATAAGGTTTCCGAGGCTGTAAATCTTTACAGGAGCACAAAGTCTCATCTTTCCCCCAAAGACCAGTTGGTAGTTTCAAACTGCCAATCTTGAGGTTAGTGGCTGACTTGTAACCACGACACTACCAGAGCTCCTTTTAGGGTCACTTTAGGGTCACTCTGAGTCAGAACCGACTCGACAGCAGTGGGTTAGTGCAGTGCCCTACTTATGGGACACTGTATGATAGAGCCTGCATGGAGTTACAAGTAGGGGACCAGGGATGCTGAACCAGAGGGCTGTCTTTTTCTCTCTAGCCCCAGTAACTATGTGACTCTGGACAAGTTGGGGAATTCAGAGTCATTGTATAAAGAATAAGAGTGACTACAGGGTTGTCTAACCTTAATGAATAATACAGCGCTTTGGCACAGACTGTAAATGTTAGCTGATAACTGTCGCCCTCATTTAATTTACATGATCTTGTAAGTACTTTAATCCCACATTATAGGGACGTAAACTGAGGCTTAAAGAGGAAGAGTCTGTAACTGAGCCAGGTGGATTCACCTTCAGAGTCCATTCTTTCAGCCTCTATTCTAGGCACTTAACAACAACAACTAGGCTCTGAGCTCCTTCCACTGCACCATCTCCCAGCTTGCACCTGCTCCAGGAGGTGCTGGGAAAACCCTTCCAATGACAGAACTTGCTCACTTTTTCACAGTTTCTAATACTAAAGGACATGAAAACAGCCCTTGAGGGTGCAGTGGGGTGGGGATGAATTAATACTGACAATATCCACTTGCCTCTCTGATTTCTTCAAACAGTTTGATGGCATGTTCATACTCGGGAGGCTCTGAACTTAGTTCGGATTCCAAGACATCCCAGAAGGCCTGATGAACAATGTGCTTCACTCGACTGGCCAAGCTACAGGAATGAAACAGATGGTTTTCTAAAGTCAACACTATGCTTCCTGATTAGAAAAGAAATATGCTCACTGTAACAATCTTAGAAAAACAGAGACTAAAACCTGACCACAATCCCACCAATAATCCTTTAGTCCATTTCCCTAATTCAATCTATTGTTTTAACACAGTTAAGAATACCTGACAATAGTGTATATATACTTTTTATACCTGATGTCCTGTCCTGACCATTTCCCCTAGACATTAAAAAGGTTTCCTTACTATAGCTTCCAATAACGGAATCCAATTCTGTCCTAAGGAGACACCACAATGTACCCAGATACTCTTCTACACACAGCTTTAGACCGTGAAGAGATTGCAAAATTGCTCTTTCCCCAATTGCTGAAATTTCATGGCAGAGAATAGAACAGATTGGGCCAAGAATCACACATTTGGAGGCCTGCCAACTTTAGCTTAGCTGTTCCATTTAAAGTCAGCAGAGTCAAACTGCTGAAATAGCATTCTGAGGAAGAGCTCACAATAGAATAGGTGGCCACCTTGCTTCAGCCATTCCAACTGAACTCGTACACCATTTTGCCACAACTTTGAGGGAAGCACACATGAGGGGGCTTCAAAAAGTTCATGGAAAAATTCCAAATTTTTACATTCCATTTTTCGAGAAGCTTTTGAAGCCTCCTCGTATTTCCCTGCACTGTAATTACCTACCTTCCTCCAGAGGGCTACACACCTCTCCTAAGTCAGACGACATAGCTCCTTCTAGGTACCTGCCATTGTCCCTAGCACAGTGCCTGGCATACTGGCATAGTGAGTGTTCAATAAAGGCACAATGAATGAATTAATCATTTGATAGTTAAAGCAGATCTTCCCCCCCACCCCTTTTTAAAGTACAAATGTTACCAGCTTTTAAGAAATGTCAAGTCAGTTCCAACTCATAGTGACCCTGTATAGGGTTTCTAAGGAGAGCTCCTGGGCTGGAACTTCTGGCCTTGTGGTTAGCAGTCCAAGGCTTATCCTAAAGAACCACACCAGGATTCCTAAAGTACAAATAGCTAAGTATAAAATAATGCTACTAAAGATGAAAATGAACTTTTTGTTTCTGTAGCTAAAAATACAGTGTTGTCATGCTGTACGACAAGCACTGGACTGAAAGGTTGGTTTGAACACCAAGGTTTGTGGTTCCTTAGAAACCCTAAACAGTGTCGCTATGAGTCAGAACTGACTCAACGGCCCTTAACAACAACAAGAAGTCAGCAAATTAGATTAAAAATGTAGTTTCATTGCCTGAGAAGAACTTGTTCAACATAATAGCCATTTCCAATGTTTTCAGACTCTCCTGAGCATCTACAGCAGTTAGACTGGCAGGCACCGCTTGGACGGACGCTGGCTCTTGACTTTTCAAACCTCACATACTTGGCTTGAATGGACCAAGGAATGAGCTAAAGCAATTTCATAGCTCCTTAAGAGACGTCAGGGTTTAAATTTAAGTTGTCCTAAATGACACAAGATATTTTTTTAGCTCTTTAATTTCCTGAGGAGGTTGGAGTCGAGAGCAATTGAATCATTTAATAAGCATTTCTATTGTGTATCAGAAACCTAAATTATTTTACTAAGTTCTTTTCCCAAAGAAAATGTGTGATAAAATATGAGAGTCAGCCACATTTAAATACAAAATAACTTGGCCATTGTAGACAGTCATCTGAGTAGCAACAGCTAATTAATATGTGATTTCATTTTTAGCAAAGGTGATATATACTAATGCTGCATTTTGTTTTCCTTTTCTCACATTTTCTAGAAATGGTAGAAAAAAAAAGAACAATTTATCTCTCCATGGTATAAAAGTACCATGTGCAATGCACTTTTACCCCGAGCTCATTTCATGCATTTGAGTGAGTAGTGTGGTCCCTGTTTTATCCCCAGGGAATATGAGGTGCAGACTAAACCTCAGTAGAGCCAGGATTCAATCTCTAGTGTCTATCACATTCTAATGAACCTTTACTCTAATCAATTACATTAGTAACTTTTGAATAGACAGTATAGATTATCTCACCTTTTTCTCTGTCTGTATTTCATAAAATTTATTAATTTTAACTAACTTCAGGAATTCATTTTTATTAGTCAACAAATGCTTACTCAACGTCCAATATGTGCAAGGCCCTGTTTTAGGCACTGAGGTACTACAGTGAAAAGAAATTTTCTCAAGAAGCTTGTATGTTAGTAGGGGTAGGAAGACAAGAACACAGAAACAACAACAAAAACAGAATCATTTATAAACGTAAAAAGAAAGAAGACAACGTCAGGGCTATGAGGAGGACTCAGTGAGACAATATGGGAGTGATGGGAAGGGTGCGGTGCAGCTGGGTTGGTGAAGAAAGCCTCTCTACAGTTCTGAGTTAAGACTTGAATGGGGATGAAAATGCAGCTATGTGGAGATCTAGGGGAAAGACATTCAAAGAGAAGGGCAAAGTCTCCCTGAGACAGGACCAAGCTTGGTATACTCCAAAATCAAAAGGAAGCCAGTGGACTGAAACACAGCAAGCAGCAGTAAGAGACAGATTTGGGGAGCAGGGCTTGCAAGCTGTATTAAAGAGTTTAAGTTTCTATCCCAAGTATAATGGGAAAACACTGAGGCATTTTAAGCAAAGAAATAATCTAATTGAATTTAGAAAGATCATTCTGGCTGCCAAGTGACTGTGGAAGATGGACTATGGACACCAGTTAGGAATGACACAATCTAGGTCAGAGAGAGCCATCGTCTAGCCTACAGATGCCATGGAAGAGCTGGTGTGAAGGACTCGATTTTGATAAATTCAATGACCACAGAAAACCAAACAGATATACTTACTTTAGCTAGTCATCTTAAAAAAGTATTAATGATAATTGTAAATAACATCCTTAGCAGGATTATGAACCACATTTTAAAATAAAGAAAATTATGTGTATGTACATTTTTGATTTAAAACAAACAAAAATGTTCTAAATGGGATAAAAGATTAGCGGCTGTCTTAATGTCTTGTTGTTAGTGCCAGGTCTCATCGAGTTGGCTCCACCTCATAGAGGTCCTATGCACAACAGAACAAAACACTTCCGAGTCTTGTACCATTTTCATAATTGTTGCTACATTTTAGTCCATCACTGCTGTCACCGTGCCAAGCTGGCCCTCCACTTTACAAGCATGATGTCCTTCTCCAGGGACTGTCCCTCTGAAGTACGAAAGACAAAGTCTCACAAACCTGGCTTGTAAAGAGCGTTCTGTCTGTATTTCTTCCCATTTGTTCTTCTGGCAGCCCATGGTACTTTTAATATTCTTCTCCAATACCATAACTCAAATACATCAGTTCTATGGTCTTCCTTATTCATTGCCCAACTTTCACATGCACATGAGGCTATTGAAAATACCAAGACTTGGATCAGGTGCATCCTAGCCCTCTAACAGACATCTTTGCTCTTGAGCACTAAATAAAGAGGTTTTATGCAGCAGATTTGACCATTGCAATATGCCATTTGAGTTCTTGACTTCTGCTTCTATGCGTATTGTCTGTGGATCCAAGTAAAATGAAGTCTTAGACAATTTCAGTATTTTTTTTTTCATTTAACTTAATGTGATTTATTGACCCCACTGTGAGGAGTTTTATTTTCTTTGCATTGAGGTGCAGTCCATATTGAATGCTGTAGTCTTTGCTCTTCATCAGTGTGTATTTAAAGTCCTCAACACTTTCAGCAAGCAAGGAAGCCAGGTTGTGTCACCTGCATTATCACAGAAGTTGCTAAGGAGTCTTCTTCCAATTCTGCTGTCATGTTCTTCTTCATATAATTTCAGCTTCTCAAATTATTTGCTCAATCATAGAGAGAACACCTGAGGATTTACAAATGGCACTGTGAGACTGAAGATTCCGTGCCACTATCCACGAACTGACTTTGCCCTAACCAAGACTGATCTGTAGTAATAGCCTCAAATTTTTCTTTTCTTTGTCCCAGAGGATTTTTCAGCCATTAAAGCCAGAGTGGGGTCAAGGCAGACTGTCAGGCTGGCTCTCCTGAGAGGTCCCTTGAGGTGAGGTTAAACAGGAGGTAGCCATGCAGCAGTGATTCCCTCCCTCCACAGGCTCTGCCATTCCATAGCACTTATCCATCTTGATCGGAATACCCGATTTTAATAAATCAATCTACAAGTATCTTCTGAGCATACGCAACGTGCCAGCAATATGGTCAGAACAGCCAACGAATACAGACATAGTTCTTCCCTTAGTGGTGCTTTTGATTGAGGTAGGAGAATAAATAATACACATCAAACTATAAAACATCTTACCCCAAGGGAAAACAGAGGGGACTAGAGAGGTATTTTTGGAGTCCTGGTGTGGTGATGTGGGTTAATGCGCTAGACTGCAAAGTCAGTTTAAACAGCAAGGTCGGCAGTTCAAACTCGTCAGCCACTCCTTGAAAACCCTATACAGGGTCGATATAGGTTGGAATCAATTCGACGATACTTAACAACACCAAAGAAGTTTTTAGTGAAGGGACTTAAATAGTCTAGGAGTCCTGGAAGGTGCTCTGTTGCTGTTGCTCCAGCATAAGCACTGGGCTGCTAACTGCAAAGTTGATAGTTCAAATCCACGAGTTGTTCTGTGGAAGATAAGGCTGTCTGCTCCTATAAAGATTTACATCCTTGGAAACCCTATACAGGGTCACGGAAAATAAAAAAACGCTAGCAATGGTGTAGAAAGACTGGGACCTTCCTACATTGCTGGTGGTTGTTGTTGTTAAGTACCGTTGAGTCAGTTTTGACTCATAGCGACCCTATATAGGGTTTCTGAGGAGTGGCTTGTGAGTTTGAACTGCCAACCTTGTGGTTCACACCAACCTTGCAATCAAGTGCTGGTGAGACTATAAAATTGTTCATCCACTTTGGAAAATGGTAGGGCCCTTCCTCAGAAAGTTGGTAATAGAAATACTGCATAACCCAGCAATTTCTCTATTTGGTATTTATCTACAAGAAATAAGAGC